TAGACCTTTAGCATATACAAAACCACAATTCATTCATTCTAGATTATATCTTAACTGCTAGGCAATGGCCCTTTTTTTCCCAAATAAATCTGGGATTCATTTCTCTGAACTTAAACACAGTAATCAAACATTTATTACTTTCTAGAAAATGTAATAGGGGATTACTAGTAATTGTTACCTGATCTATATCTCAATCTTTTACATTACATTACATCATCCATGACCTAGTCACAGTCTTATATGTACAAGCTTGACCTTGCGACCTTTAACCTCTGACCTTTGGCACTGCATGCCCCACCTACTGCCAACCTACTTGATGCTTTTACTGAGCAGAATCACTGAGCAACCTACTATATCTTAAAATATATCATATTTACATATTTACATATTTGTACCATTCCTATATCACTTGATCATCCTGACATACATGTACATGTATATAAATAAGAGAGAATAATACAATGTATGTGGACCCTATAGATGAGCGGAGTTGGAGACAGGAGAACTTAACATTCTTATATGAACCTTGGTGTACATTGTTAATTCTCGTAGGATGTTTATTGTAAGAAGAAACATCCCTGAAAGTTTTCAGAAAAAAGATTGACGTCTAGCATCGATCAAAGTGAAAAAATGCCATGATTTATTTTCAATTTTATCTTCATACCATGACACCAATTACTTAAAAATCATAGATATCATCCTGCCTATCTATACAAGTAATTTCCAAAAAGTTTCATGGAATTGTCAACATTCATTATATAATTTTGTTTGTTATAACATTTGGACTGACTTTTAAAACTTCAATAGCAACTGTAATGGTACTGGCTTCAATATATTAAGAAGAGGTTTTTTGTTGTTGTTCCAATTAAAGAGCTTAACATTCATGTCCTTTCAGTTCTTTATTTCTACAAGATTGAAAGAAGACTACATCATCATCATGTTTCTTCATGTAGACCATTTCCATTCCTTTTATCTCATCCCATCATCTAAACCGGTCAAAATGGTTTATACACCCAAACTATATTTTCTTTAAATCACAGAATGTACATTGTTTGGGAAAACAAAGAATGTCATATAAAGATAATCATATTTTCTAACAATGGAGCACTAATGATTATAACAAATCTGTTACTTGCCAAATTTATAACTGATTTTCTTTTGTTATTAAAGACTAAAGGTAGATTTTATAAGTAATGCTAAATTACATTGCAGGGAAAAGCATTGGTATGTTGAAAGGTTTCACTCTTGTTATAATTAAGAAACATTTCCCAAATTAAGAAAGAAACAAGAGCATCTCAAGGTTTAAACCAAAGAATCTTTGCTTGATTAACATCAAAGATCTGGCAAGTTTGTAAGATGTCCTTTCATATATATCATGACTATTAGCTCTATTTACATGCAAATGATGTATGCCTAAAATCATGACGATCGGTAAGATTAGATAACAGATTTCTACTAATTCCTAAAACTACATTCAAGAGATTGGCAAAGGTATTTAGGACATGAACTCTATTTCTATTTAAAGAGGCATTAAGTTTTTACCCCATTTCATTCCATTCAGCCCAATCTTTCAAAATGACTGAACAAAGAAAAATCCTCTAAGACATCCTAAAGAAGAAAAAACAAACAGGAAAGTGGTATGTGATTTTGGCATCAAAATATGAAAGAAAAGCTCAGTGTGTGACATGTACATGAATATTGTGTGCCTCATTTCACTAGACTGTAATCTGTTATTAATTCCATGTCACATGTTTTGTGTAGATGGAGATAGTGATGACAGCTTTATTATGAGCGATTCTCACCAGTCCTGTCTTCACAGGTTGTGCAAGCTTGCAAACTGTCTTATCTTCAACCAGCTTCCTTTATCTATGCCTTCTAATCTCTACAAGAATATTTCCAACCAGCTTTTTGGTAAGATAAAGGAGAAGATACTGGAAATACATCCATCCTTTTTCATGAAATAAGCATGGCTAAATTTACAGTAGGGTCAATTATTATACTTTCAATACTGTGCCTCTAAAGTTGACCAGCTATGGACCCTTTCTCCATATTTTGACCCAATGTAATCAATTTCACCAAGAGCACTAAAAAAACACAGTATATTACCTCATAAACAGTACAACTCTACTGCACACCACATTATCTGGTATACATGTAAATAAAATAATGTTATTAAACTATAATATCTTACAATCTTCAGCTTAGACAGCTATGGAAGCAAGGAACCCTCTTCAAAGAAGTGAATAGTATCTACATGTAGGTGTATGTTAACTCATAACTGTTGGTCAAAATTATACTGATGCAAATAAATTAAGGAACACACTGAATGCATAAAACTGTAATGTAAAGTAGGTACATGAAGTATAACAAAATTCTGGGTCAGGCCATTCAGGTTTACAATTATACAAGTATCACCCATTAAATGTTATATGCTTGAAATACATACACTCTCGTTTAATTTCTAATTTTGTCCTTCTCTTGCTTGTACAAATTTAATAGAAGCAGTCTTAAAGGAATAGTACAACTAATATTATAAGAGCTTTATTTAACTTGGTTTATATGACTGAAATAAACTGTTAAAAGTCTGGAAGAGACAAAATAACCATTCAACAGTGTAGTCCAGCCCTGGGGCCCCTCCATCCTATTCCAAAGACCAGGGAGGGAAGGGGGAGGGGGAGGGGGAGGGGTGGATTACTTTCACTCAGCATTAGTGAATACTAAGACCATAGGGATGAACAAGAGGGTGCTCTCATTATATCAACTCCATTCATATTTTTCATTTTCCCCCTATCTAGAACAGTTGTTTCTTTAATTTAAGGTAAAATAAGTTCAAAGCTGGTTGCACATGACATCTTAGAATTGCTTATTTGCAAATAGAGTCCTTCTTCAGCATTAATCAACATTCTCAATAGGTTCATTCATGTCAGGATGTTCATCTTACTCTTCATGTGCATGTAGATTAGTGGTTCGTCATAACTTATTCAAACATTATAAAAGTTAGACCATTACTTTAATATGCATAACATAAAAACAATCTAAGCCTGAAACTTCCTTAACACACAAACCCTGTACAGATTTTTAGACCCCTCTATATGACATTCCTGCATTACATGTAGAATAAAGATAATTAAGAATAATATCAAAGAAATAACATGGTTTAAAATCAACAAACAAAAGACTTGTTTTATATATGAAGCAAGCTGACCAGCAGCTTTTGACTAACTGAACCCAAAACCAAAGGATAAAATCAAATCAATTTCTACTAAACTGCTTTACTAATGTGGTTTCATGTTTTAATAAAGCACTGCAGATACGATTGAATTTTCCAATTGAATTCACTGAATCATGAATTTATGTTTTGCACATGGCACCAAAGATGATAACACAATCCAGTGAAGTTCACCATCATGGCATCATTTTGCACACTGCACTATACAGATGATCTAGCTGCTACATGTAAATACAATGTATATTACACCACAGCTTTAAAAGCTTTGCACACAGCACCAAAGCTGAACCACAGAACTTCACTCAAGATTACTGTTGCTCCACTTTTGCACACGGCACCAATGAATTTCATTTAAGAGCTGGTCTCATATTATGGCCTCGCAACTTGGCACACAACAGCAAAGCAGTGGTGATCACATCACATTTACTTTCACATATATTATAATGTTTGATATTTGCAGTTTTCCATATTTTGACGTCTTTTAACACATCTCCACTGCATGTATGATTGATACTCAAGCTCAAAACATGACATGGTACATAGCTATCTTTATTTTATTTTACAGCGTAATCAACATTTTGTTCTCTTGATTTCTCTGAACTTATCAGATACTTTCATCACTGTACATCCAACAATATAGTTAATAAGAATAAACTACAGAAGAAAAAAAAAATCATATTTACATCTATTCACAGGCTCTTTTTTTTCTCTCACTTTTTTCTTTACTAATAATCATAAATAAATATTAAGGAGTTGCACATCACAATATTAAAAAATACAATCTCTTTATCTCTACCTTTATCTCCCTCTCTCTCTCTCTCTCTATCTCTATTTTCCTCCTTCTCCCTCTCTCTCCCTCTTCCTCTTTTTTCTGCATTACTTCTCTCTCCACAAAACATGCTTCCATAGGAGGTTAAGCAGATTTTCATATAATATCCAGAGCACCAATCTACACTCCATAAACACCATTGTTCATTTCCATATAGATCTAATATGGGTCAGTCAACATTGGTAACTGCAGACCCAGAAAAAATAATTAAAATTAGAACACTAAACCTAACCCAACCCAATCATGTTCGAGCATGATACTGCTTGTTTTTAAGTAAATAATTTGTCTGATTTTTTTTAAAGAACAAGTGTTTAATTATGCAAATCCTTCATGTATCCAGAGATATGCTGTGGATATGTGACTGCAACTGACTGTCTTCCCTTTGTAAGCAAGTTCAAATTGAAGGTTTAGCTAAACGATATTTGTCCATCTCCAGACTTCACCGTGATGATCATATAATGATATCTGCATTTGTTTGTTTGTTTGTTTGCTTTACCTGACTGCTAAGAAAGCATGTATATGCTTGTAAGTAAACAACCAGGGCCAGACCGACGGCTTCAAGTCCTCTCTGATGGACTTGGTAATGAAGATTAATGCCTAACCAAAGGGCCCTGGACCTCTACTACCGAGCCATCGCGCTTCCAATAAAGCTCATTCCATAGACACCCATGACTAGACTTCAACATGAAATCAAGAATCAAGCACCATCATAGCCTTCATATTTGCTCCTTTCAACATTATCCACATAGCATAACATTAATATTGTACGTCCACATAATTGGACTGGTTATCCCATCTTATGTACATGTATATTAAAACTACAAGTAATTAATGATCAAGTCTTGCATCTCACCACGTTTGTTAACAATCTTGATTCTACAGCCTGTATTCACCTCACAAGATAAGCCCAACCACAGATTAAAAATTGAGCCGCAGAATAAACTTTGGTCTATTTTTATTGTGTTGGCCTGTTTGATTTTGGTAACTGCAGAACATACATAAACAACAGCCTAAGATATATTGGGCAATACATGTGTCTTCTATTGTAGACTACAGACCAGGACTTGGCTTTACAAAAAGGTTATGGACCAAGACCAGACTCTTCTACAGAGAGTGGACCAAGAACAGACTCTTCTACAGAGAGTGGACCAAGAACAGACTCTTCTACAGAGAGTGGACCAAGACCAGACTCTTCTACAGAGAGTGGACCAAGACCAGACTCTTCTACAGAGAGTGGACCAAGACCAGACTCTTCTACAGAGAGTGGACCAAGACCAGACTCTTCTACAGAGAGAGGACCAAGACCCTTCTACAGAGAGTGGACTAAGACCAGACTCTTCTAGAGAGAGTGGACCAAGACCAGACTCTTCTAGAGAGAGTGGACCAAGACCAGGCTCTTCTACAGAGAGTGGACCAAGACCAGACTCTTCTACAGAGAGTGGACCAAGACCAGGCTCTTCTACAGAGAGTGGACCAAGACCAGACTCTTTTACAGAGAGAGGACCAAGACCCTTCTACAGAGAGTGGACCAAGACCAGACTTTTACATCTAGAAAATCAATCCTTGACTAACATAAATTTATATGCTTTTTAAACTATCCAAAAGAAGAAAAAAAAATATCTTCCTGGTTAAAATTCATGTTTCATACGTGAGAGTTGGCAGAGAAGGTAAAACAGGCCGAGGAGGAATTTGATACCGTGTCAAAGGTTGTCGTCGTGGGAGGGGCAAAGGTTGTTGTGGGAGCAAACGCATTCGGGAGAAACGTTGATGAATGCGTGGCCAAGATGCGCTGTGGAGGACTTGTCTCGTCTGAACTCATGCTTGACATACTGTGTAGAATATAAATACAAATAGAAACAATAGCATTTACACTACAAAATGGAATAATCTGGCCATAAGCATGCTGTCTAGAATATACAATATATTACAGTTGAGATTGTTCTTCAAATTAGAAAAGTAAAATTCCATCACTTCTTATAATTGTACATTGTCCAATTTGCCAAGACCAAATATTTACTAAGAGTTGGTACTTCTGATGCCTCTTCTTCAATAATTCTCGACTCCAGAAAGCGAATACCTGATATTTTGGCATAATTGACTTATTAATTCATGGATATACATGTAAGCTATTACTAGATTTCAGTCTAGTTTGCAGATTGGAAAAAGGGCTATTTGGGCAACCAGAAATAAAAGAATTATATGAAATAAAGTTGACGAAGATATCTCATTATACAATGGAATTGAAGCACATACCTGAGTGAGCTTGGGTGGCTAGGAGAGCTAAGGAGCTGCCTCTTAGAAGGTGTGCATTCACCATCACTATCATCTGAATATCAAACACAAACATATCCAATTCAATCATGTCAAGGTCATTAAACATCAAGGTCATTTATGGCAAGGTAAATATGTTAAGTTCAAACACAGCATTACAGAGTTTGGGTTGATAAGCAAGCTAAAGCCTCTGTCACAAATGCCATTACGAAGGCCGTACGAACGCCGTACGAACAATTTTCAGACAATGGCAATTCGGGAAGAAAATGGAAAAACAGGGAGATTAGTACGGAATTATCGTTCGTACGAACCTTTGTGACCGTAGCATAAAACACTCTCTTGAAGGGTATACATTCACTTTCACTATCATCTGTATTTTTTTTTAATGGTATTCTTCCAGATTAACATAAAAAAGAATGACACTGCTCACAAGTGATTTCATCTTTCCCTTAAAGGCAGGGTATTACATCATTACCACTGCTGTAATGTATTTTCAATCGCACCATCTATCAGTGCATAGAGCAATTTCAGGTTCCTTTACATCCATCATCATTCACGCGTGATGCAGTTGTGATGCATTGTGGGACATTGTGAGAAGCAGATGGCAGTATACATAAATCTGAAGTACCCTGAGCATTAGGAAGTCTTTACTATTAAACGCATTGACTACCAAATTCCGTCTTTCCCATTGGATTCAATACAGGAAATGTGTGATTCCTGTAGCTAGGCAATGGGTTATGAGATTTGATTGTACTTACATTTGCGTTTGAGTGAGGATGCGAGAGAGCTTGGTCTGAGTACAGGGCTCATGCTACGTTTAGTGAAGGTAGACCTGGTAGGGCTAGGGTTGGGACTGGGTGACATACAGGGACTCCTCATTGATATCTGAGGTGAAAAGCATTGCTGTAAAGAGATAGAGAGAGAGAGACAGAGAGGGAGAGGATAAAAAGTGTTAAATAAAACCAAAGAGTGATGAATATATTATGCCTCCTGAACTGCATGATAAAGAAGGAATCATGATCATATTACAATGCAAAAATCTCCTCCTTACATGTACCTGAATATCATCATATTGAATGTCCGATGATATTTAATCATCATTGTTTCCTATTAGTGTATCTCCATTGTGCCTCACTTATCGTCATCTGCATGATCACCATCATACTACCATCAGTACCACAATAATCTTTATCACTAACATTATCTTATTCATCGTCATCACCACAACTACCACTGCCATCACCATCATCATCACCACCGCTAACACCGTCATCACCATCATTATCACCATCGCTACTACCCGGCCCCCCACTCAGTGTTATAGGGTACGCATATGCATGTTCCCAGCACCCCCACCCCCCCTCCCCTTTTCAGCATAAGTCCGGTGTTGAAAGTCAATGCAAGTACATCTTTTTCTTTGTTACGAGCCGGAGATTCAAGATTCAAGATAATTTATTGACATGTGAAAAAATACATAAAATTTGACTTCGGACATTTAAAGGTGATATACATGTACATTAAAAAAATATATATATAAATACAGACAAAATAATTACATTTCAACATAATATTTAGCAATCATCACAATTTTAAGAAGGTTGCATTAAAAGAATAAGATAATACTGAGGAAAAGGCAGTATAGTTAAAAAGCTTGTTTTGTTTTGTTATTGAGCTCGTCCATCCAGGCACTCCCACACCAGAACACCTCTCCAGCTATCATGCATCAACACACATACACAAATACATGTGACACACCCCTATACACACCTCTTACACACACGCACAATATAACCGGACACGTCCTACACACACACACACATTCTCACATCAGGGCCTTTGTGGGGCACCTGATTGTGGGGTATTTCTGTGCGTTCCAGATATACCTTGTGGTCCCCTACTAGTGGGGTATGTACAACCTGGCGATAACAACCCGGCGGTGTGCTTACGATGTTACCATAAAAAAGTGTGCAAGTTTTAGCACACGCTCACAAAAAGTCATTTATGGAGTACCACTTCTAATGCCCCGCAGGGCATAGGACACCGAATATACAGTCATTTGAAAGACTTTACTCTGTGGGGTCCTGAAAAAATACCCCACAAAGTAAAAATGCCTCACAAGGGGTATGTGAAGCGCACATAAAACCCCACAAGAATGCTGAGGTGAGAGCACGGACACTGTAATCAACATGAGAAGTACTCTGGCGTAGAAATGCCTGGATGGAGATAATTGAGACAATAAATAAAATAGCTATTTGATACGCAACGGCGACTTTGAAAGAAGAGAGATGAGAAAGGAAGGAAGAAAGATTTTGGGAACACGCATGCGGTCCCTCCGTTCCCGGAGTGGGGGGCCTGGGCGCTACTACCATCATCACCATCATCATCGTCACCAGTGATACCACCATCCCTACTACCACTGTCGTCATCATCATCGTCCCCACCAGTACCATCACAAACACCACCACCACCACCATCATCACTACTATCATCATCATCACTACCTTCATCACCACCACTACTACCACCACTACCACCATCATCACCATCACCATCATTCTTACTATCCTCATCATGACATGAACCTACCTTGCCTGCTCTGGTTGGTGAAGGAGATGAAGCTACAAATGGTAGCGTGGGTGGTATAATACTCAATGGTTCTGATATACAAGATCTTGGCTCAGACCGAGGCTCAGATCGTAATGCTTTGATGCTTTCATCCTGAAAATAAACAACAATACCACAAAATGAATTAAAGATAAAGGTGAGTTATGGTAATGCGATTGCATTGTGAAAGAAAAGGTGTGGAATGGATCAGAAACAGTTGATCATGTAGCATGTTAGTATTGGTGTGCACTGCAAGGTTCTGGAGTCGACAAAATCATCATAAATTTGGCCGAGTCTTGGTAAAGTAACAAGCACTGTACACAGAAAGCTATATATGGGACAACACACATGGTGTCGGGGCTAGTACTACCTTGATTTCCTTGTCTTTCTAAGCTCATTACTCAGCCATTATACATTTTCTTACAAAATTGTTTGGCACATGTCATTTATTTGTAATCTTTAACATTCAGTGTCAGTTTTGTTTGATTCTGTGAGAATTAATTTTCTTTTTTTTTACAAGAACTGGGCCCGTATTCAATAAACTTCTAAGACATTTTTCTTAAGTCTATGAAAATGTCTAAGAATTTGTCTAGGTTAAGAAAGTTGCCTTAGCCATATTCTAAACACGTAAAGCAGTTTGTCTTAGCTAAGACGAAAGACAAGACAAATTCTTAGACCCGATGACGTCATGTGGGAAAGTTGATGTGGTCGACTCGAGCAAATTAATTGCAACTCGATTTGCCTATGTAATTTGCGTGTTAAAATAAAAATCGCACGGCACGAAAATTATACACTAACATGTATGGGAGAGCGTAAGGGAGGAACGATGCTCACATAATTATTTTGGGATTGACCAACTGACACTAAAACAGTCTAGTCAAGACCACCTGAGGCTAGATCTAACGTCTGTAGGCTTTTTATACTTTTCTGTCAAACAACTCCGAGGAGCCCAACCGGGCTTACTTATTATGTCGCAGCCGCAGGGTCTGTGAGTTTGAAGGGAGCGCCGTCGCTAGCCGGCCGACCAGCGCTAGCATTGGATTTGGAGCTACCCTTTCATTGTTTTACGTCATCGTCTACTGTTATGATGGCCTAAAATTAATCGAATGGCTAGATGTAACCTTTATCAGACTCATACTATAACAAATTTTGTCTCACCTAATATTATGCCGATTGCACATTATTCCCTGTTTCCATACTTTAGCGCCAAAGACTAATAAAGTAAGAGACGGTTTCTTTATATACGACAGACATGTCATGATTTAGTGTTATGTTGTGTACAAACAAACATACATAAGTACAGTGCACAGAGCCTATGGCGCTCCTGCGCGCTGCGCCGTCGACGCTGTATTACGCGAAGCTTACGTTGTTATATAGGTCAACTGATAACCTGCGCTCGCGTTGCATGCATTGTTTTTATTCCATTTGATCGAAACCCGAAGCGGTTGCTTGCAGCATCACTGAGCTGCCGGTGCCAAAGCCCCATTTAAGCATCCTCGTAGTATACTTAAATATAGGGTAGATTTCTTACTTATCTTAGATATCTCGATTGTATTAGAATACGACATGCTACTTAAGTCCTTTTTCTTAGATAAAATCTAAGAATCCTTCTTAATCTTAAGGCAAATTTCTTAAGTCCCCATTGCTGTAATAGAATACGATTTTTGGCTAAGATTTTTTCTTAGCCAAAATTTAAGAAAAAGTACTTAGATTTCAAGCTTAAGAAGTTTATTGAATACGGGCCCTGGAGTTTATCTTTAATCATGTTCTTAAACTTTGCATGCAGTTTTTACAACCAGGTCACTAACATTTTTGAAGCTTCCCCAATGACTATTGATTTACTGAAATCACATCATCAATTTTATTTCAAGGTAAACCTTAATAAAAGGGCAATTTTTTTTGTTAGTGAATCTGCATTTTTAAAATAAATAGGAACAATAGGAACAATCTGTGCTGTTGGTATGTAGATACATGATTCAATCACAGCACACATGAATCCTTTTAGCACAATAATGTCAAGGTACCACGTATTCCCTCATGAAATCTCTGACATCGAGCCCTACAACCCATAAATATCAATTTGCATATTTAATGACATCCTTCAGAGATATGTAAAATGGCATGTGCAAAAAAAGAGGCTCATGTCTCACTACAGTATATTATGTCATATTTAAGAATGATCCTACATTTGCACAGCTACATTAGTTACTTATAGGATGTTTTTCATCAAAGGTACATACATGTAGTTAAGGCTTGTGTTGTGATTACGTTTTACATTTGGTTTGGGCTTAATAATATGTTTTGTTAACTCAAGGTAGCCTCATCAGTATTAATACTGTTCTCCCTAAGGCCCCTGCATTCATATTATCAGGTTAGGTGTCATGGTAATTTTTTTGTTATTTATTTATTTTTTGTTAGTATTTTTTAAAAATAATAGTGTGTCCAGGGTTGAATTTGTAACCCTAACAAATGACTGCAGAGTATTTGTTGCATTGTAGATGTTATAAAATTGATATCATATGATAGAGACTTACCAAGTGTAATTCATCCCAAGACTGACTCATCCTGAATGCAGACCTGACCTCCCTGTAGAGTAAAGAATCAAATCAATTCATAATTACACTACTCTTAACCAATTAATCTATTGAAAACAATTCAGTACTAGTGAACTTCAGCATCACCTATAAAAGTTATTTCGATTTGCCAAGGCCTATGACTGTTCCTCCATACACATTGGATAGGAGTATGCTTGTTTGTGCTTTATATGTATTTATAACTATCCCTCAATACAATTGTCATCATTTCATCCCATTCACTCAGTCTCAAATCTTTTATTTTTTCAAATACCTACGGTACATAATTTCCCTGCTGAACAGTTTTAAGAATATTGACCAATGATAGAAGCTTATATCAGCTCATCTAAACTTTCTTCAAGCAATTATGTGATGTTATTGAATGATTAAAGAATGAAAGGTTTTGGGAATTCTGTTACTCAGATATTCCTTAACGATGCTTCTGATGATTGTTAATCTTAATAAATTACATTATAAAGTGCTTAATACAATGTTTCTAAGGCTGCGTTCATGCTTAAATTTTGAAGGCAGAATGAGCGATCTGAAACGCTCATCGTAAACGCTCATCGTGATCGCAGTTCCACGATGCACTGTTCATGCTTACTTCTCTGGCTCCCCCAGGCAATTCTCAGTGTGTGGCCTTAATTGGTCTTCCAGCTGGATTCGCAAACCTTCACTGTGCATGCTACGTAGACCCACTAGAGGTCAGTGCGTTGACCCCATTTAAACGCGTTTACAAATTGTAAACGCATCTTTTTGTGAGTTTACGATCGGCGATCATGATCGCCGTTTTTCGGTGATTCTACAAAAGTGAGCATGAACGCAAGCGTGTTTTAAACTAAACGCGTAACAGATGCCTGATTCTGGCCGTCAAAATCAAGCATGAATGCGCCCTAAGTGCTACACATGACAAGGAACATCGTAAAATAAACATACAGCAATAATAATACATAATTCTAATAATAACATTACAGATAATTTACTTAAAGGTAATACAAAGTTTTGGTATTGGGTCATGAATTTGGTTCAAATGAACATATTGGAAGCATATACGATCCTACAATATTCAGTGATCGTTGTCGCGGTCGAAATCGACTCTTAAGTTATGAAATTTTAAATAATAAGCACTTTATGTTGAATAGCTCCTTCTCAAGGTCAAGATATTAATTAAGTTATTCACAGGGGCATCTAAATATATCAAAATTGTAAAGAATCACTATTCACCCATTTTTCAAAATTTCCCAAAACTTTGTAATACCTTTAAACAAAACTGCCCTATAAATCACTATTAAACAAAAAATACTTCGAACTTGCCCTAAAAGACACTACAGATGGGGATTGATGAATAATAATTTGGGGGCTACAATAGAAAAAGTATGATGGGTATTGGTTCCGGGACCAGGGGTGTAGTTGACCGTAATGAACATGATCTTACCTCTCATGTTCTGCTTCTTTGCTTCTGATATCCAAGCTTTCTTCCTGTTTGATTTGAGTAACCCTTGAAGGTATCCTCACAGGAACAGACATCTAAACACAAACAGAGTTTGTTCATTACAGATAATCAATCAAAAATTGCTACGGTTAAGAAATTATATAAATGTTATTATTAAACTGCAGATGACAAGTGAAAATTAGTTGACACATAAAATCATACAATTGTTATACAATGATTTCTGTAGACATGAAAACAAAAATGCTATTTTACCATGTAAGGCCTTGTTTTACAGGACACCTGTCTACCAAGGCAAGAGCTCCCAAAGATCATGAAAATAGAACTGAATGGATAAAGCTTGTCAAATCAGTGCGAGTACGCTCGACCTACTAGTAGATTCAGTTAGAATTTTCTACAAATTAAATCAACAAACTCCTAACGTACTGTAGAACCAGGTAGTTGTGTAAATTCCACAAGATTCAGAAAAGATTCCCATTATGCAAAAAAAGGTTTGCACTCACTGGTTTAGCTCCATTGCTTGTTTGAGCGCTCATCCTACGTACCCGAGGCTTTTCTCTGATTGGTTGAAAAACTGGGGAATCATCGCTGTCATCAAGAAAGAATAATAAAAGGATGAATAATACACATCATACAGATGAAGATTAATTTGTGCTATATAAAAACCGAGTATTTTTATTATTATTATTAATATAATTCATCAGTAGGAACAACTTGTACAGCACATAGCAATACCTTGGAAATATACCTTGGAAGTAGGCATTCAAAGTTAAAAACTTATTTGCCTCTCGTTGACATTCGGATGAAGAATCCACAATTTTGACACATGTTTAGTGGCGCTATACAGCAATTGACGAACATGGACAAGCGAAGGACTCCTCTGGGTCAAATTGATCTCTTCTTGACGACCAAAATTTCAACAAATTGGATTTAAAGCTGTTTTAATAGTGACGTGCTCTCCACAACTACAGAGGAGAGGTTGTTCCATTCATTGATACATCTCTGTAAAAATGATCCATGTCTAAGCTTCGAATAGACTTTGCAATGCAGCAAAGGATTATACTGACCCACCACCACACATGAAAGGTACTCAGTAAACATGATGTACTATCTTCACATGAGAACTATGTGTGTAAAATAGTTTCATGTGGTTTCAAAATGCCAATGTCTTAAAGGTAAAGACCAGTTATGGTCATGCGATTGCACTGTGAAAGAAACGTTGTGGAATCGATCAGAAAAGGTTGATCATCTAGCATCTAGCATCTGCAAGGTTCTGGAATCATCAAAATGATAACAAATTTGGCCCAGTCTTCGTAAAGTTACAAGCACTATACACAGAAAGATGTATATGGGACTACCCTATATCTCTCACAGACCATGAGAGAAACAAATTTACCAAATATATGAATTAGTAGGCGGTTTCCCGGCAAATTTTGTATCATCATGTATTAGTCAAAACATATTCTTTCACATGATTGGTAATGAGAGCTTCCATTTCATTTTTTGAAATTGGGGCATTTCCAATACTGGTCTTTACCTTCAACAATTTTCATACAAGAATAGACATGTGAAAATGGAGTAAATCAAAATATGTAAAAATGATCAAATCATCATTAGAAACTCTTATAAATTTTACATTCCAATACTTGATATGCAGTTTGATTATTAATCCAGATTTGAAGAATAGAGAAAGTTTTCACCTTCCATATTTACAGTAATTCCACGAATTATCAATTTCCTCTTAAAAACAATTGATGACTCACGCAATCCGACTCGAGCTCAAATCTGTGTAAAGGCTAATATAAAAACTTTGTTCTTAAGCCTAAACAGCTACATCAATTTTGGAGAATTTGTTTTGTTTTAATGGTATATACTTACGTCATATTAGGTCCATTAAACATGGGTGCACTGTTGGACCTGCGTAGCGTGCCTTCTTCCCTCACGCTGATAGGACTAGGGGTGGCAGGGCGACCCACCTCCATGCGATTCTCTTCCGGAGAATCTGTGTCGCTGTTTGCTTCACTGTGAGCAGCAGCCATCTCTTCATCTGGCCATCCAGCTATAAGACCAAGGTGGACTCCCTCTGACCAATCCAGCTCAAACAATGGATGATATCTCCAACCTTCTCAATAAAACAAGCTGATCTCTATTCCAGTCCAGACATCAATTAATAATCATCCAAACCACCCACAGAATTATACAGAAAAGCCAACTCAGGAGTTTAGGAATGCATTCCCTAAATAAATTCTACTTGCAAATAAAATCACTACGTTTAATTAACAAGTGGTGTTTCAAAACACATCTAGGCTGGTAAATTCCATAAATGTTTCAGGTGACTTTTTCAAGAGTTAACAAAATCCAAAAGATTTTTTGAAAACTTTTGTTGAGTTGCTTTTATCTCCTATTTCACTTCAATTTGATATCATCCCGAGGTCAAAATAATAATCTTCTTCCAATGTATATACAACGCTATTGATGGACTGAAGCGTCCCTGAGATACAGCTTGTGAACATGACCTTCATCAGCGGCAGAAGGTTTAAATATCCTGCAGAAAGAAGTAAATGAAAAAGACATACAGAACAACAGCCTTGATTAATCAAGTGATATTCATTTTTTTTTAAATAAAATTTACTTGAATAGATATTTTATGGGTTAAGCAAAGTAAAATATTATCAAAATCTTTCCCCTGGTGATAAATTTGTAGATCGTTATCTAAAATGAATGCTTGAATAGACATGGTGATGAACTATTGTCAAATTTTACACATGATAAAATGAAAACACAATTTGACACATTTCTTGATATCTAGAAACATGAAATTTCTTGAATCATGAACACCTTAATAAAGGAAACTTCACATAAATCAGATAGTAACTGATTGCAACTGACAATATCCACTCACTTGTTAACGGATATTAACAGCAACAGCAAGATAAGACCAAGTTTTAAACAAATAATGATAAATTTTCAAAAAGACAGTAAGTTCTTGTCCATATGACCAGTAGGGGCGCTGGTCCAAGAATGAGGATCGTCCGCAGAAACGAGGATATCCTTGTAAACGCAGACAAATCGCATCCTAAAAAATAAGGATCATCTGCATTTTTGAGGACATATTTTTCTTTAGTGCTCTGCAGGTGTAGGGTTCCCGATCCGCGCGCTGGCAATGCGGAAAAACAGATTCCGCGTAATAAAATACCCCCAGTTCACCACCAACTTTTATGGGTTGTTTTCCGTCTTCCCGAGGATTTAACGTTCATAACGTGAAAGTCTCTGTGCAAAGTGAATGTAAAATGCATCATGGAGCATCATCGAAGAATCTGTTTTTTCGCCAACGCTCGGATCGGAAATAAGAATCACAGCGAAAACGTGGACGATCCTTATTTTTAGGAGGCATCGTGCATCTGCCGCGATTACGGAGATGATCCTCGTTTATGCGGATGATCCTTATTCTCTGACCAGCGCCCCTACTGATGACATACATGTGTAAACCTTTAATTTTTTTTACATGTAAATTATTGAAAAGATCTCTCAACGAAGATTAGACAAGATTCATTCAGCCAAGGAGTCATCAATGACTGGAACACACTGCCTAATGAGGTAGTAATTACCCACAATTTACACATTGCACACTATTGCACACTAAATGCACACAATAAATATGAGCTATGTCTTCTGTGCTCCCTACCAAAGCCCACACATACATTACATGTAGTTGCATTACTATCCTGGCTGTGTATTACAAAAACTGTTCTATTGATTCTCAACATTTCAAACACCACTGACTGTACAAACTCAATTGATTTCACTCAAAATGGGTACTTTAGCGACAATTGATGAGACCTTAAAGAGCAGTAAAATAAAAAAAAATTCTTAACTTACTGATGTTACAAAGAATACTTTGAAAATTCAAATCGTGAGTCTACTGTCAAACTTGCCGATCAGCCACATCGTATTCATTGTGTGCATTTGTGTGTATTGACTATTCATGTGAGCAATTGCTGCCTCTTTAATAGTACGTAGTTCAGTGCTGGAGGTCAATACGCATTAGCATTGACTCTCCAGATATCTAATCTATGCTTTGCTGGAGTGACCAAAGCCAAGGTAAAGTCACTAAAGATAAGAAATACGCAGATCTATTTGATAAATATCTGATTATGCTAACAATATTCTATTAAATATCAGACAACAATACATCGCATTTATTAAATCAATAATCATGCCTTAAAGAGAGATATCTCCTTCTATTTCGAAGGGAATTCAAAGACATGTATTGCACATTAGCGAGTGTACTAACGCAAGATGCCACATATGGGACTGGCATTCAACTAAACAATAACTTATTTCAACAATAATTTACGATATTTACTCCATGAAAGAAAATAAACACCATCTAATACTAAAAATGATAACATTATATATATAATCACCCTTTAGAGAGAAAATTTCCTGTAAAAAGATTGGTGTTATTCTGAATTCTACCCGGATTTTCGCCTTTCCTCTTCAAAACAGTGATGAGGAGAAGAGTCTCATCTTTATGCAAATGAGCTGTGGCAGCTTATATGCGCATGCTGGCGCTGACGATACCTTGATTTTAAATGAATTGAATTGAATCTAGGTAAAAACAAGTAATCAGCCCAGGAGACTGATTTTCATCAAGTCCGCGAAATAAAATTTAAACAAACATACAGAAAATCTTATCATAGCCTAATTACGGAAAGATACATGAAATATATAGGCAGGATCATTATCAACACATAATATAAGAGAGATATAAATAACATACCGTGAAAAAATGCCATTACTCCTTCATATTTCACAGAATTTTCATTTTTCATTTCTAGGCCTCATGATGTAAAAGATTGTTACCGTTCATGATTTTCAGGATCCCTGCCAAACTAAATGATTGGAGTGCATGTGGATGCATGCATAATTATAGAGATCTATAGATTCTACTCAATCAAACATATTCTGAGTTTCAGGACAACAGAGTGTTGTTTATAATTTTTGTATTTGTTTTTCAGATCATTTGTTGCTAAAGAACAACAACACATAGATTACAAAGAAGGACAGGCTAGTAACTTTAGAGAAATCAAGAAAATTTCAGACGATCGAGAGAAAGGAAAGAGACATGGGAAACGACCGAGGGGGAGATATATAGTGGAAACTTTTCAATTATGCACGCCATGTATTATATTTCCACGAGTTCTAATAGTCTTTTGTAAATTTATAAGTTGATAATCATTGCTGCTGCGATTGCTGTTGTTGATGCCCAGGTCGAAATTCCAATAGGATCCAATCCTATTGGACCATCAGAAACCATTAGAGCTATTGGTGTCTATATATTGGTTTTAATAGGGAAAGTGAAATGATGGACCCACAGAAACCATTAGAAAATATCTATTGGACCAACACCCACCCACAGGAAAAATGCTGATGGACCAACAGAAAGCTTCTATTGGACCAGGGTCTAGTAGGTCCATGATTGGACCAGCATCCACCCACGTCTTCTATGGGTTTCTGTTGGTCCATTAGATATTTTCTTTTATGATGGGTTTCTGTTGGTCCATTAGATATTTTCTATGGGTTCCTGTTGGTCCATTAGAGATCTTTCTATGGGTTTCTAATGGTCCCATATTCTGAATTCCCTATTGAAACCAATAGTCAAATATGGCTTCTATTGGTAAATCAATAATGATAAATAAAAAATCGATTTTAGCAACTGTCCACCAAAAAAGGTATATACTAATCTCAATTGCATTAACTCCATCACAAATATCACTTGGAGTGAATTTAAGAATATCCTTTATTGTAACTGAAGGCTTGTACTATTCTATATCATAAACATACATGAATTGTTTCTTGGTTAGTAATCATTATAATCAATATATCTATTGCTAAAACGTGAATGTAATTGTAACATGATTAAACAAATCATCTATTGGTCATTAGTTGCCGAAAGAAAATAAAAATCACAAAAATGATGTGCATTGTCATAACATCGGACTCCCAACTCTACAAGAGCGACGACTGGAATCACGTCTAGCCATGATGTACAAGATCCTCCACCACCAGATAGCCATCCCTCTTCCAGATTACATCTCACAGAAAGACAGAGCTACAAGGAGTCAACATCACCTTCGTTTCACCAGATTTGGTACATCCTCCGATTCTTACAAATACAGCTTCTTTCCTCGCACCATGAAAGACTGGGATGAGCTTCCTACAAATATCATTGAACTGCCCACATTGAAGCAGTTCAAGGAAGCCATCAGCTGCGAATAGTCACAGCATCATCATTATCATTATTTTTTATGATTTTTATCATTTTTATCATTTTACTTGCACCATAAACATGTATATATTTCGGCACAAATTTACACAAGCCGTCCACCGTCGGCAAAAGATCACCCTTGTCTAGATGCTGAACAGGCTTTGACAAGTAGTAGAATAGAAGTAGAAGTAGAAGTTGCTTACCAAATTATGATAAATGTAATTTTCTGTGAACACGTATAAAGTAATCATGAATATGCATGAGATAGATTTAGCTGTTGCTTTCTATTGATTTCTATTGGTTTCTATTGGACCTATTGGTTTCTATTGGTTTCTATGTTTCTTAATTCTATTGGTCATATTGGTTTCTATTGGTTCCATTGGGTTCTATTGGTCTCATTGGTTTTCAATTGGTCCTATCGGTTCTGTTGGTTTCTATTGGTCTTATTGGTTTCTATTGGTCCTATTAGTTTCTATTGGTCTTATTGGTCTTATTGGTTTCTATTGGTCTTATTGGTTTCTATTGGTCCTATTGGTTTCTATTGGTTTCTATTTATATTGGTTTCTATGGGTGCTATTGGTTTCTATTGGTTTCTGATGGTTTGAATAGTCTATTGGATTCAATTCTATGCGTCCAACAGAAACCAATAGAGTAGACTCCAACAGAAACCATTAGAGACCAATAGAATTGTTCTAATGGTCTCTATTGGTCTCTATGGATTTTCAATCTGGGTGATGATGATATTTTGTGGTTGTGGTGGTGCGACGGTGGTGATGGTGGTGTTTGTTTGTGGTGGTGGTGGTGGTCAGTGGTGCATGGTTTTGTTGTAACTGCCACTGTCATTGATGTTATTTTTTATGTTAATTGTTGTCGTTGTCTTCATCATTATTTTTTTCTGAATTCCGGTGTGATTCAATTTTTGTTTTCAATAAGAAAATAGAAGAGGGGAAAGGAATTATGGAATAAGGCAATTTAAAAGTAATGACCAGCCGTGAAAGAGAGAAAAGAGAGAATGGCTGATAAACAAATATGTACGTCATACCATGCCTGGGGATTCTAAATCTCAATTATAACGGGAGACCATGGGGATCAGGGTACCGCTTAGGCTTTGTTGGCTAGAGGGCGCAAGTAGCGACAAAAAGTGCAGTGGGGCTTTGACAGGTCCCTTCATCTGGGATTCTGCATTCTACTTATTTTCTAGAAATCACCATATTGTTTTAACTAAGCAGTATAATAGAGAATAGGTCTTACAAATTATCGCCAATATTTATGAAAATACTAATATTTCATTTATATAACGCCTTTTAATTAGATACAAAGCTGGGCGGTTTACCCACTTATTATCATCGTAAATTAGTCTTCCATCCAATTGTCTTCTTGATAATTGCTTTTGGCTTAGTACTAAAAGTGTATACAAGATATATTCTGAGCGCTTGGCCATCAGTTGACAAGGGGCCACCATAGCATGATATTATAATTTTGTTTACTACTTAATAAAACAATTGCATTTGACAGGCGCGCCGGAAGCAGTTTGGATTGGGGGGGGGGCAGCAGTGGCGTACCTGGGATACTCCGTCAGGGGGGGCAAGCGACCGAAACAAACAAAAAAGGCGATGCTAATTTTCACTTCTGGCGAGCGAGCGAGCAAAACAAAATCTTTAAGTATCGTTTGGTATATAAACTGGTATTGTTGCAAGTTGGGGGTGGGAACATTCACTTGTTAGCGACGTTAATTTAATTTTTTGGCAAACGAGTGTAGCGAGCAAGAAAAAAAAATCACTTCTTTTTTAAGAATTGCCACTTAAACTTGATTCAATTGTCCCATGCAGGGCGCGGGAACAATATTGTGTTTAGGGTGATTTTATACCCATTTTAGCTAGCGAGCGAAAATACATCTTTCTCTCAATGAATTGCTATATAAAATTTGTTTCATTGTTGCAGGTAGAGGGCGGGCACAATCGTGTTTAAGGCAATGTCAATCCCATTTTGGCGGGCAGGCAACCCCCTACATTTCTCTTTTTAATGATATTGTAGCAGGTTAGTGGTGGGCACATAATTCCACGAGCTAGCGAGCGTAGCGAGCGAAAAAAAAATCACTTCTCTTTTATAGGGAAAATATGGTACATAAAACTTGGGTTCATTGTTCCATGTCAGGGACGTGATTATTAAAAGCGGTGTTATTTCTATTTTGGCGAGCGAGCGTAGCGAGCGAGCGAAAAAAATCACTTCTCTTTTATAGGGAAAATATGGTATATATAAACTTGGGTTCATTGTTCCATGTCAGGGACGTGATTATTAAAAGCGGTGTTATTTCTATTTTGGCGAGCGAGCGTAGCGAGCGAGCAAAATTTTTGTAATGATAATTGGTTCATAAATTTCAGATTTTTTTGTTGCAGGGCAGGGCTTACACAATCATGTCTAAGGTGATGTTAATTCCGTTTTGGCGAGCACGAGCACATCAAAACTTCTTTGAATAACGTTTGGTACATAATTATTAACTGGTTGTTGCAGGTTGGGGCGGGAACGTTAGCGGTGTCAATTCCATTTTGGCGAGCGAGCATAGCGAGCAAGCAAAAAAAATAAATTCTCTTTTAATAAAAATTAATAAATAAACTTGTTTTTATTGGTGCAGGTCAGGATGGACGCAATCGCGTTTAACGCGATTCAATTCCTTTTTGGCGGGAGGGCGAAAAAACTCTCCCACTTTTAATGATATTGTTGCAGGTCAAGGGTGGGCACAATTGTTTCCAAAGCAATGTCTATTCATTTTATTCGCGAGCGAGTGTAGCGAGCGAGAAAAATGAATTAGTCTCTTTTAGTAACATTTGGTACATATATTGTGTGTTATTGTTGCCATGGTTGCAGGTTGGGGCCCGTCGGGGCAGGCACAATTTTATTCTAGGCAATACTAATCCTTTTCTTTTTTCAGGGGGACGAGCAAGTGAAAACATTTAATACAAAATAGGCTAGCAAGCAGTTCGCGCCAGCGAAGAGTTTCGAATTTGTTATATCACTTATATTTTCCTATTTTCATTTGTTTTAATTTTTCAGGGCTGTATGCGGAATATATTTCTGGTGGGGGAGGGGGAAAGATGCGTTAAAAGTTTTCGAAGAATCTCAAAAGCAAAAGGAGTGAAGGGAGTTCGAGCGACCGAACTGGTCATGAGGGTACTTTTGCATTTTCAAAAGTAGAATTGAAGGATTTGGTAATTAAAGGCGTACACTACATTTTCAGGAAAAAAACTGTACGTTTTTTAAAATATCTGGGGTCAACTGC